CTCAATGATCAAAGTGACTAGACAGGGTGGTCCACCATTGTCACCAATGCCTTGCGTGGTGCTGGTTTGCTTGATCATCTCACCAATACGGGACCGATTTCACCGTCCATCAGCACTGTTGCTTCATCTAGTATTATTGCATCTGACAGTGGTGATGTCGATCTACAGACCGCTCATGCTCTCTATGTCAAGAAGAGTTCAAACTGGCAGTTGCAAGAATTTCGTGTCATGAATTATCTCACTAGCTGTGTTGGCTCTGATCTCACTATCGAGATTGGTTCGCTTCCCTCTGCTTGAGCCATGTGAACTCACCTCACTACGCGTTTCACAGAGTGCTCTGGTGCACGGGAGGCATATCTTCTGCAACGCATTGCTCTACGACGCAAAGGTAGTTCCTCTCTACAGACTCATTTTGCACAAATACAAGCTTTTTGGACAGAATTACGCTCCATGCTTCCTGGACGCAATTCTACATGAAGACTGGCTAGCCTGGTATGAACGACATGAGGTGCATCAACTGTTTCAGTCCCTTCCTAAATATTCAACTATGGCTGATCAACTATTTCATCAACCTCAATTTCCGACTTTTGCCTATGTTGTGAGAGCTCTCACTGCTTATGAGACCCGACAACAGACAACACAACTCAATTTGTCAACAAACTCCTACCTCTTCACTCGAGACTGTTCTGTCTGTACCTGTCACTGTTCCTGTTATGAATCATACTTCTCCACAGGCTCCCTTTCCACAGGCTCGATCTAAGCTCTCTTGTAAATATTGCAAGAAGGAAGGACACCGCATTAAGACATGCTTCAAGCTTCATCCTGAGTTACGTTCCTCAGGTACTAGTCATGGTCGGCGACCCCCTCAGTCTCAACCCTCTCGTACACCAGGATTGCTGGTCAATGCTATACCTTCTACTATTTCAGACTCTACTATTCAAGCTATTGAAAGTCTTCGCCGTCAACTTGATGCCTTTCAGCATATCACCTCTACATCCGCCGTACAACTCTCTGGTATGCATTTTGTTGGTTCTTCAGCTAATCCTTCGATCTCTGGTATGAATGATCTCTGGATTTTTGACTCTGGTTGTTCCTTTCATATGACTTGTAATGCCTCACTTTTATCCTGTCTTCACTTCATCTTCTCTTCCCCATCTACACAGCTGTTGGACAACCATTATTCATCACTCAGTATGACTCTATTACCCCATAAAATGATACATCTGATCGTCTAACACTTGGTCTCGTCTATGTGGCTCCTCAGTTGTGCTTGAATTTAATTTCTATTAGCTCTTTATGTATGGCTGACATGCTTGTCTCATTTTCTTCTGATACTTGTATTGTGCAGGATCCACAGACGGGCAAGACGGTTAGGACGGGTCGTAGGAGGCACAAACTGTATTTTCTGAAATATCTTCACTTTCCAGAGTCCATACACTCACGTTCTCTTGTTGCTTCTGTTTGTTCGTCAAAACCCTCTACCTCACTTGCTGCCAATTTGTGACATAGACGACTTAGTCATGTGTCTAATAAAAGGTTGGAGAGTCTTATTCAGTCTGGAGTACTTGGTCTTGTATCATCTAGTTCTAGTATTGAGTCATGTACTGGTTGTAAATTAGCTAAATTCACTACTTTACCATTTAAAATGAGTACATCCGTATCCACTTTCTTATTTGATTTAGTGCATTCTGATATTTGGGGATCAGCTTCTTTTCCTTCTTTATCTGGTTACTTATATTATGTTAGTTTTTATCGACGATTTCTCTCGTTTTACATAGGTTTACCTACTTAAGAATCGATCTGACGTACTTACTGCTTATAAAGCCTTCACTGCTATGATTTTCACTCAATGACAATCTTGTATTAAAGTTTTCCGTTCTGGTTGTTCCAAAGAGTACCTATCATCTATCATGCGCTGTACCTATCATCTACCATGCGCTCTACCTATCATCTACTATGCGCTCTATCATGTCCTCTCATGGGACTATCTTTTAACAGTCATGTCCTTACACTCATGAGCAAAATGGTGTTGCTAAACGTAAACATCGTCATATCCTCGATATCGCTCGATTCATACTCATTTCTTACTCTGTTCCTCGTTGTTTTTGGGCTGAGGTCATTCTCACCGCGACTCATGCCATTAATATCACTCCATCTAGCTCTCTTTCCGGTGCTACTCCTTATAGTCGTGTTTATACTCATCCTCCCTGTTATGATCTAGTCCGTGTTTTTAGTTGTCGATGTTTTGTTCTTCTGCCATCTCACGAACATGATAAATTGTCTCTCAGAGCTGTTTCTTGTGTCTATTTAGGAATTAGTTCGGAACATCAAGGTTATCATTGTTATGATCCCGCAACTCATCGAGTTCATATATCTCGTCATGTTCAGTTCGAAGAGGATTCTCCATATTATTCTACTTCTAATGACTTTAATTTCCTCCACTCTACTGATCATGCTTCATCGTCAGATGCATCACCCACTTCTTCACATTGGTTTTCCTTTCGAGATCTCCATGACATCCATCCATCTCCTTCTGTTAACTCTTCCTCACCTGAGCCTTCTCTTACACTATCTGATCCCTATCCTGTGGACACAACTCTCACTCCAGAACATACTGTTGATCTCCAGCATCTGCGCCAACATCTCCTCCGCCTGAGGTTCCTCTTGCTCTTCGTCGAGGCAAACGCCCACATGTCATGTCTGCCCGGTATGCTTCGGTTACTTCTTATTCACTTATCTTTCATAACTTTCTTGCTTCCATTCATACTATCGTTGAGCCAAAGTCCTTTCAAGAGACAGTTCAAATTCCAGAGTGGCGACAGGCTATGGCTGAGAAATTTCAAGCCTTTCAGCAAACTCATACATGGGATGTTGTTCCCTGTCCTCCTGGGATCTCACTTGTTGGCAGTAAATGGTTTATAAGATCAAGTTTCGTCCTGATGGCACAATTGAACGTCAAAAAACTCGTTTAGTGGCTCGAGATTTTACTCAGCAATAAGGTATTGATTATGAGGAGACATTTGCTCCTGTTGCTCAGATGTCTACCGTTCGTATTCTACTTACGGTTGCTGCTGCTCATCGTTGACCCTTATACCAAATGAATATCAAAAATGCTTTTCTTCATGGCTTTTTATCTGAGACAGTATATATGCAACCGTCTCCAAGGTCCAATATTCCTCCAGAACATATATGTCTCCTTCGTCGTGCTGTTTATGGTCTCAAGCAGGCATCCCGCGCTTGGTTTGAGTGTTTTCGCGATGTCCTGCTCAAGGTGGGCTTTATGGAAAGTCATCAAGATGCTTCTCTGTTTGTTCGCGCTACATCGCATGGCAGAGTTTTATTACTCATCTATGTAGATGATATGATCATTACAGGTGATGATGTGGCTGGTATACAGTATACAAAATTTCAGTTACAACAACAGTTCCACATGAAAGATCTTAGATCTCTTCGGTATTTTCTTGGTCTAAAAATTTCTCAAGACCCGCGGGGTGTACTACTGTCTCAACAGAAGTATCTCTCGGATATTCTAAATCGAGCTGAGCTAACTGACGATGTAACTGTCGATACTCCACTTTAACAGAATGTCAAACTTTTCTTTACTGATGGTGAGCCTCTATCGGATCCTACCGATATCGATATCTTGTTGGCCAGTTAGTCTATCTGTGCATCTCTCGACCACATATCTCTCATGTTGTTGGCATTGTCAGACAATTTATTAGTGGCCCACGTTCTGTTCACTATGGTGCCTTATTACGGATTCTTCGTTATCTCCGGGGTACTAGCACTCGCTCTCTTCTGTTTCTTGCTACATCCAAGTTAGAGCTTTGTGCATATTCTGATGCTGATCGGGCTGGTGATCCCACTACCAGGAAGTCTACCACAGGTTATTGTATATTTCTTGGTGATTACCTTATTTCCTGGCGGAGTAAGAAACAATGTGTTATTGCTCATTCCAGTACCGAGGCAAAGTATTGTGCAATGTCCACAACAGCTAAAGAGATTATTCATCTTCGTCGTCTTCTCGGTGATTTCGATATTTCTGTTACGACTTCTACTCCTCTCTACTGTGATAATAAGAATGTCATCCAGATTGTTAATAATCCAGTATTTCATGAGAGGACCAAACATATTGAGATCGACGCTCATTTTGTCCGTCAACAAGTTATCAAAGACAAGACAATTATACTTCCTCATGTCTCATCCACTGACGAGCTTGCAGATTTCTTCACAAAAGCCTTACTTGTTCATCGGTTCCAGTTTCTTGTACGCAAACTCACTTTGTTTGATCCAACATAAGTTTAAGGGGGGTTGTTGATAATAGTGTATTGTAGTGGGTTTTAGTTCCACATTTGTTGTGAGAACACACATCACCTTCCTCTACTTGTATAAATATATGTACACACTCAATATTCAACTCAAGGGAAATTTACCCAAGACTCTCTCTCTCTTACTTTAACACTAGTAAAGCTAGAGAGGCACTCAAAAGGGAAAATGATTAGAGAGGTGAATAAAGCAGAGGATGGCAGGTTGGACAACCTTTCATTATCATATATAAGATTAATTAAAGATAAATTTATTTAGGTTTGTTTTCTGGTAGGTGAAAAAAGCAGTGTAGAGCAGGTGGGGAGTCTGGGGACAACCTTTCAATTCCTCAGCTTGTCAAATAATGACAAATGACTAAAGAAGAACCAAATCATAGTCATTTACGTATTCAAATCAGTCCATTAGCTGCAAATGTTCTTCAAGTATTCAAGTTAGTGGACTTGATTATACCAAAGGGGTCCCAAGAAGATGGTTTGAAAGCTACATAGCCCATGACTTTATTAGTTAGGCAAGGAATTTAATAAATGCATCTAGGTCCATGTAACAGGAATTTTTATGTTCAGCCAGCCAGGGGAGTGATGAATAACAGTAAAGAGAATTTTATAACACAAACATTCTAAAATTTATACTAAAAAGATGAAGCGCGAGACAAAGAATAATGAAGGCGACATACCAAAATTGATGGCTACTGCCAATAACTAAAAAAACTCAAATATTTGCTCAGATTAAGTGTTAAAAACAACAAATTAAAACACATAACAACAGCCGTTAAATTAAAACACACAAACAACACGAAGCAGAACAGGACAGTAAAACAAACAGAATCATGAAGAAATTACTTGAAAGATGAAGTTCATTGGATCTTTCAGAAGATCCCAAACTATGGAGCTTAGTTACAACTGCTGTTCTTCAGATGGTGGAGTTGGCAGTGCATGTGGCTGATCACCTTGCCAAGCCCAAACAATGTCCTTGAGAGCTGGTCTAATGCCATGTTTCATCGTCTTTTGATACTCCAAAGTATCCCCATTAGTTTTCTTAATTTCAACTAGATGTAATGTAGGAGTCACCTCAAAGATCTCCGCATCAACAGCTAGCACTCCCTTTCTACCTGTCTTTTCTCCTTCCATTTTTAGCACTCCGCCGTCCTTCTTCTTCACTTTGAATTTCAGCTGCTTAGCAATCTCCTCTAGCTTTGAGATAATTGTGGTAGCGGGCTTTGCACATGTAAACCTCGCCTCTCTTCTCCAATCAGCATCCTCCTCGAATAAACCCGAGAGATCAAACCCAGCTGAAAGAGAGATGATGTCAAAAGCATTGAAATTTACAGGCTTCAGAATCTCCTCTTTCTTCTCAACAGTGTTCTTGCAGGAATCAAAGGCTACATTGACATCCACAGGAGCTATCTCTTTTGTTCCGGTCACATTTTTCATCAGCTTGTTATCAAATCCCTTTCTGAACCAAGAATTCTCCCTGATTTTCGCAGTGGAGATCCTAGTAGCCGGATTTGGGTCAAGAATCCTGGATATAAGCCTTCGAACATCTGAAGGAAACCAATTGGGGCATTTGAATTCGGCCTTGCCAATCTTTTTGTACATCTCCATTAGATTAGGATCATGGAACGGCAGGTAACCGGCCATGAGCACAAACAAAATCACACCACAAGACCAAATATCAGATTTAGTACCATCATAACCTTTCCTGTTGATAACCTCAGGAGCAACATAAGCAGGTGTTCCACATGTGGTATGAAGTAAGCCATCCTGTCTCTTGGATTCAGCAAGTGCACTCAACCCGAAATCTGAAACCTTTAGATTTCCATTATCATCCAAGAGGAGATTCTCGGGTTTCAAATCACGGTGGTAAACACCTCTACTGTGACAAAAGTCCACAGCACTAATAAGCTGCTGGAAATATTTTCTTGCGATATCCCCCTTGAGCTTGCCTTTTGCAACCTTGTTAAATAGCTCACCACCTCTGACATACTCAAGGACGAAATAAATCTTCTTTTTGCTAGCCATGACTTCATAAAGTTGCACGATATGTGGGTGCCTCACCAATCTCATAACCGAAATCTCCCGTTTGATCTGATCTATAAGCCCAACCTTGAAGACCTTCTCTTTGTCAATTACCTTTATAGCAACACTTTGAGAAGTTTTAAGGTTCTTTGCATGGTAAACTTTGGCGAAAGTTCCTTGCCCCAACAATCTCCCCACTTCATATCTTTGCATCAAAATACTCCCTTTCATATCTGTTCCCATTATGATAATCTAATACACACTATACTATATAAGTTATGTTTATTTTTCTGTACTTATTTTACAAAGCAGGACTGGTACTGCAGAAGACTTCAACCGTCTTCAACATCGTCGTGATCTAACACGACAGGGTTTTTTGAATTTCTAGCTCTACTGAGTGTGGATCCACCAAGTGGAGATTGAGAAAGATTATTGTCGCCAATCTCATCAAGGATGAATAAGCACAGCTCGTGTGGAGCTACAAGCTCGTTTACCTTAGACAAAAATTTAATAGCGTGCAAGCACATCTTTCAGCATCCCCTGCTGTTTGTCGTCCGTTTTTCTGGGCTGAGGTTTCTGAAAGAAAAAGATCCAATGATACATGAGAAATGTGTCATAAATACACAGCAACCTTATAAACACATCACAAGAGATAAACAAATGCAACTGATAAGAAAATAGAGTAGAGAGATCATCTATCTGAAATATATAAAGTTGAGATGACATTAATCAAGATGATACAAGTATGTAAAGGAAACCTTCCAGTTGGTACACAATAAAGATATCCTAGAAAAACACATCTCTTAACATTAAGTTACTCAACTAAAATATCAAGTGGGTTGACAAAAAAGCAGAGAAACAAACTTACATCCTAAAGCTGACATGATATGCAACAAATATGTAACTGACCAAAAAGTAACACTATCAAGCTTCCAGCTAATACACCAATAAAAGATAATATTAACAAAGATTACATAATAAACTATAATCAAATATCTTCATCTCTAATCTCAATAAACTAGTTTAAGTGGACAGACAAAAAAGGTCATTAAATAGATGATTTCACCAACTTTTTACCCATTCCTACCACCAAGAGTGGGGA